GTTGACGCCATGAAATTTGGAAACAACAGATTTTTCCCTTAAAATGACACATTCTCTCAGTTTAAACTTTAGATCTGTCAGTTTAAACTTTTGATCTGTGATTTGTGTTCTATTCTGAATAAAATATTAGATGTTGGCACCTCCACATCATTGCATTCAGTTATTATTCACAATTTGTTCAGTGTCCCAACTTTTTTGGAATCCGGTTTGTAAATGTTTCTGCAGACGTGAAATCCAAAATATTAACATTTTACATACTTTCAGAGTAGATGCTGAAAACCTATTAAAAATTGTGCTCTTCAGTCCAAACATTACTCAGTAAACAGCAGACTTTTTTTGTTATTACTCAGTAAAGTTTCATTTTCCTCGCCTGCTGTCAAAACATTTTTACCAACCATTTTCTGTCGTGACCCGTCTGTCCAACTCTGCAAAGCTCTAACATTTTAGAAGTTTAATAACTATTTTCTTTATTTATGTCTTAAAATTTAATCTGCTATGACGTTGATAAACCTGGCTGTCCACCAGTATATCACATTCTTGTAATACATTTTAAAACAATACATAGTCTCTGTACTCATTCTTAACATGTTAAAGTTTAAGTTGCAGTAAACAAGCTGGAACTTCACATTTTATCAGGATACAGCCTCAGACTTTGAAGTGTTTTATTGAGATTTTACATCATTTACATTTTACATACGTTTAAAATACAGCTGTTCTGTGAACATCTCGGAGGTTTGGTACAAACTATTAGGGATTAAACAGCATCATGAAGACCAAGGCACACATCCGACAAGTCAGGGATACATTTGAGATGTTTAAAGCAGGGCTGAGATATAAAACTATCCAAACCTCACAGAGATCTGTTCAGTCCATCATTTGGAATGCAAAAAGTATAGCAGAGCTGCATATCTGTCTATTTAATCATTATTTCTGACCAAATGTGGGATGGGGTGTGGACACACACAGTGTAGCGGGCTACAAATTGAAATGCGTGGCGAGGATTTGAAGGGAAAATCATCAGGTCGTATTTCAGGACCCCAGTTGTCTCTTGGACTGATCCTAAAGTACAGAGTTTGTGTTGGAGTGGTGCCCAATCACGCACATTTTCTTTTTTCTTTATCTTTCAAGAAACTTACCAGTACTTAATATTCATGTTTATATACATAACTTGTGAAATCAAATTTAAAAAATAGATTTTTTTTTTTAATGTAAAAAATGTTAGTTGGTATTTTACTCAACCACCAAAATCCACATAAGACCAGAAGACAGTCTCACCATAAAGTGACTCTGGGACAGAAAATGAACTCCAAATTCTCTTACGATCTGTGGATGGCAAACTTCTACAATCACATTGCACCGCCTGTAAAACACAATGATTTTTTTAAACATAGTTTTTATATAAATATGTTGGAAACCATTAAAATCTTCAGCTGGTAGAGACAAACTCCAAAGGACTCGAGAACCACTGAAAGCTTGTCTGAGATGATCATTAGATAATTCATGATTCTAATACTTCTGTGTAAATTTATGTGACATAACCTGTTTGCAAAAAATGACAGGTCTTCCAGTATCGCTTCAGCAGGAACTAAACCCTTGAGCTTGTCAGAATTCCTGTTCCAGACAAAACCCAGAGTCAGACCGAGACCAGGTCCATCTTTGAGGAGCCTGTCGACCAGGTACTTCCCTAAATCACACATCCCCCCCCCCCACCCACATGTTATTAGCAATCAATATAATGATGTATACAGTGTATGTGAGGTTTGATGGAGGAGTTCAGACCTAGATGTCCATATCCTACAACTCCAACTCTCAGGATGGGAGAACTGGTTTCCATATTCTGTGTACAGGTAAGAGAAAAATGTGTATTTAACACATAAGTTCAAACACATGCACAAACTCCGGCTGATATCTCTAAACTGCCTCTTCACCGGAGCAACAATCTGTATTTATTGCTCTGCTCACCTGATAGTTGTGCACACCCGCAGGTCTGTTTCCCACTGTGAAGAGCAAAAACCAGCCACAACACTAGGAATTATGGGAAAGCCGAGTACAAAGTTTGATTCTGGGAGGCCTTAGTAAATCATTACTTGTTTTTGAAACTATTAGACGGACCTCCTAATGCACTTAAATTTCAGTTCCAGATCAGCAACAAAGGCTACAACAATGTAATTATAAACAGCAGATAAGAGGAATAGATTAAAAAAATTATAAACACTGAACATTTATCAACCTTTTATTTTATTTGTCCTAGTGATTTTCAAGTCCCGTTTAAAAACTCACTACTATTCAGTAGCTTTCAACACCAAAGGATCTGTTTTTTGAACCTGTACGCTCCACACTGGTTTGTCGTCATATTTACTCTCTGCATCGTTTTCATGTCCATATTTTTGATTTACTTCATTTTGTATTTTGCTTCGTGTGTTGTCTATTGTTCTGTCTGTACAGCACTTTGGTTGGCCTTGTAGCTGTTTTAAGTGCTCTATAAATGAAATGGTATGGTAATGTGCCCTGGCCAGAGTTTAACACCTGTGCCTATGTGGTTGATATTGCAGAGTTCAATTTATTTTATAAGTAGATTTTAAAATTTGTTTTTTGGAGATACTGTGCCCCCAAAATATGTCTCTGCATGCTGTTTATCCGTTAAAACAACTGTTTTTATAATTTAAAGCAAAAACCAAAAAAATTTTACATAAAATAAAGGCTTCTTGAAGGAATTTAAATCACCCAACAACTTTATCACCTGAGTTTTAAACTTTGATCAGATGATGTTAAAATGACGGCGTTGTAACCATTTTGGTCAAATCTTGAAAATAACATCATGCAGGATTTGATGTCACACTCAGCGCATGTGTTGTGACTGACTCTCAGCTACTACCGCATCAAAGTTTAGCTCAACATCTGTAAATGCAATTGAGTTATAACCATTTTGTGTTTGCTAGTGATGAGAAACTGAGTGGCCATCTTAAATAGAAGACTCCAAAAGTTTTTGTTGTTGTTGTCATTTTAAGATACAACCAGAGATTAAAATCAATAGAATTCAAATTTGTCTATGGGTTTATGAGATATTTAGGTAACGGACACATAAACACAGACATGGACAAAATTACCACCACCCACCTCTGCCTTTTGGCTACAGACAATAAATACTGTCAGTTTGATTTCATCTAAAAATCTAAGCATGAATGTTACAACACAAAACATGAACTCACATAAGTTCGAGTCAAAAACAATTAGTGTCATATTTAAGTTCTCAGTTATTACACACACATTTGACTTTGCCCTCTTATGAGCTGTTGTCATCAGAATATTACTGGTGGAGAGGTCAAAGGTCAGCTGTTTGTCCATGAGAACATGCATCCGGGAGGACATTGATTATCAGAGCACATTGCAGACAGCAGGGTTTAGTCTGAAGTTCACCGTCGTGGAAATCTAAGTAAAAGGCACAGTGGAGGTTTGAGACTAGAGGAACGGGAGAACGTCTGAGGACCACGTCATCAGAAGACGGTGAAGGCAGAAGAACAGAGAAAAACTGAAAACAGGACGGTCCCATCCAAGAAAGACGCGTGCAGAGATGGATATTCTTGAGACACATGCCTATGACAGGCAGCAGAGGAGAAATGTGGTACAGTTTACTCATTTATTTGTAAATTTGTTTTGTGCACATTAAGAGTGGGATTGTCCAAAATGAACATTTCAGCCAACTATTACATGACAATTGGAATAATTCACCTCTTTTTACATTTCTTTGTCTCTTTCCATCAGTCCTGTGCTCTTCTTTTCTCTCTCATGCCTTTCTTTTTGTCCTCTGCTTTATATTTCTACCTTTTGACTCCTGATTCGGCCCCATCAGTCATGTCTGCAGGTGTCAAATGTGCTCCGACTCTCCTGCTGGCTGCAGTGGTGCTGAGCTGGAACAGAGGTCAGAGTGTCTTAGGTGTGGCAGGAGGACTTCTCTTTTCTGCTGTTGGGGACTGCTGCTTGGTCTGGCCTGAGCTGTTTATACATGGTAAGAGCTCCGTTTTGCATAAGCTACCAGTGGATACAAATTAAACTGCCACAAAGAGAAGTAGGTTAATTTTTACCTTATAAATAGAAAATTGCGACACATTTCTTACATTAAGCCCACATCTACTGGTTTCCAAAGCATCACTGATGGAAAAAGTTTCAAAATATCGAAGTCAAAACTTCTAGTCTGTGCATAACATACTGTTGATTTAATTTAATTTTTTGCTCAGGAATGGGAGCATTTGCTGTGGCTCATCTGCTCTACTCGCTCTCCTTCCTATCCAGTCGTTATGCAACATATTCCTCTTCCTCCTGGACCAGTATTCTGTACCTGCCCCTGGTACTGGTGGGAGGAGCTTTCTACTTTTACCTATTTCCATTCCTGCGGAAGGCTCCAGACTCTGATTTGCTGACTCCTGGCGTGGGGATCTACGTCATCCTAATTACTGTCATGGGTGTATTAGCAATCAGAACCCGCCATGTGACAACACTGCTGGGAAGTTTGACTTTCATTGTGTCTGATGTGTCACTCGCTTTGCAAGTCTTCAAGGTTTTGCCACCAATGCAGCATGGTCAGCTTGTTGTCATGGTGACCTATTATTTGGCACAGCTACTGATTGCTGTGGGTGACGTAAAAGCAGTAGAGAACAAAGATGAATTTTCGAAATGGAAGCGGTCCTAATCAGGATCCCTGAGGCATTCCAAACTTCAACAGAATCTTCACATTGTTTTCCTGAATTGCATTTTATCAAAACAAAAGTGGAGAACTTATTCATCTAATCTTGGCCAAGTTTAGCGCTTTACAGATGTAAAAAACAAAATGTCAAGATGCTTTTCATGCCATTTTATTAATCGATCTGATAAACATGTTTAAAATACTATGTATCTTTACAGACATGACACAAAAACAAACCACTCTGTAGGTATCCGTTTGTAACACTTCTATTTTGTTATTTACTGTTAGACATGTTTTTATAAACTTTCTTGGTAATGTGTAACTGGTACAAGTGATGGCATTCTTTGAACAGGCCATTAAAAGCTTGTTTTGTTTACAGTAAATAAATCTGGTGTCTAATCTTTTTTGAAGGGTCATCTAATTGCATTGAAATATTTATGACAAATTTTTACTTCACAACTATTAGATTTCAGGTTTAGACCCATCTAAACTGACATTTGAATATTTATATACAGTATTCATAAAAAACATAGCTGGTTATGGAGATATTATACCGCTAAAGATATTAAAAAGAGAGAAATAACAACTGATTTGAAAAATAACTTTATACAGTTATTTACAGTCAAATCCAGCTCCTGGATTACATGAAAATATGAACAGCAACTGCCATAAATGGACATAAATGTCACTGCATTCATGAGTTAACTCATGAACATTTGGGTACATCTTTTTGTACCGATACCAAACAATAAATAAAAACAAACAAGCATGTGCTTTAGCGATCCATTCCAACGTCATCCGATTGTTGCCCACTGAAACACAGAACTCTCAGACGTTCGCAGAAGTCAAATTCTTCCTGTTGACAACAAAAATGTGACTTTAGAGAGCAATATTTTTAATCAGATGTTCATTTTTAGTCAGTAAATGTTATTTGAAAGATGTTTCATATTCACTTTTAAGCATTAAAGCACAATCTCATTTGAGATATAAAAATACAAAATGACAAAACCCCACATTTCAATGATCACAGCATTCAACAGCTTCAATACAGATTAAAAGATTTTACCTACCCGACTTTCATCTTTTCCTTGGAGGTCTTTGGCTCGCTGTTTGAGGAATTCCTCCAGATCCAACGCAGGGTTCCTGCAGTCCCTCAGTCCTTGTGGAAAATCTTCTACCAAACTAGAAACAGAACAACGGCACTGTTAAACTTAGGTTCTTTAAGCTTTTCCAATGTTGAGGTACTTAAAACGTTTTTCTTTTTTTGTCCCAATTTATCTATTTATTCATACAAACTCAAACATCAATGAGGCAGAAGATGTTTTACTAAAGACTTTAAGAGTTTCCTGTTGTCGAAAAACAAAACCATCCAAGAGTCAAAACAGCAGGCAGATGTTTCTCACCAGCACAGAGCACCGAGCACGTGTTCATGGAAAGGTGAATGTGGCATGCGGAGAATTGCGACGAGCTGCTGCACCATCCCCATAGAGACAACCGTTTCTGTTAGAAGACAAAAGTAGGAACATGATTCAAAATATCCCATGTAATGTACAAAAGTGTACACTAGAGGGTGACACGGGAGTGGATTTTCATTCCTGCCCCCTACCACTCCCACAAAAAAAAAAAAAAAAAAAAATTCTTGGCCCATCCCACTCCCGGTATAAATGACTCCCGCTCCCATAGGATTTTTTACATTTGAATTTGATTTTATCTTCTACCCATTCCTTAGTATATTACTTTGTGTTCTGCAGTTTTATTTAAAAAGATGTGAGAACTGGAACAGTTCATCCGTGGTAAAACAGGCATTTAATCCAAACAAAAACACATCACTAAAGGGCACAAAACATAAATAATACATGGGCTGAGGTCCCTATAGTTTTTCTATGTAAGATAAGCTGCTAAGTCCTGGTTTCTAGCACATGGTTCACAAAATGTCTACCTTAGTTGAATGAACCCAAACACAACATAAAAAGTTGCATTTTACTAATTTATTGAGCAATTGTTTCCTTTAAATTGTGACTTGTGTTTTAAATGGCTAAAAAAACTAAAACAAAACCATCACACTCAACTCTCATGAAGTTCAGTATTTGCTTTCGTTTTATGTTTTTTGTCCTATTGATTGGTTTCCAGCTCACGTCCACTCCCATCAACTTTTTAATCCCGTACCGTCCCAATCACGTGAGTAATATTTGACTCCCATCCAGCGGGAATAACGTGATTCGTGGGATTCCCAAAAAATTGTCAGCCTCTAGTGTACACAAAGGACACATCTGGGATGAGAATAGAACATCCACTATAACACATAACATCTTTATGATGTCAAAAGTGCTACAGAAAACATCAAATGACACCAATCAATCTATTTTTGAGGAACCTGCAACTAAGAAAAGATGTTGGGTATATGACTTGAGTTAATGTAGATTTTGAAAGTGGCCCTTAGTTTGAAAGAGATTTTAATTTTGGCCCCCTTGTGGCTCTACTGACTGGTTTAATACATTACTGGCGTGACCTTTATTTATTTATAAACCTTAGTTTAAGCGTTTTCTTTTTCTTAATTGTCCTGGTTGAGAGCGATCACAACACAACTGAAAATGATGAAAAGAAAACATTTTACATTGCCATGAAAATTATTTTATCTTACACAGTACCCAAAATAAACCAAGCAAGAGTATAAAACAAAGATTAAGATTATTGCATTATAAACAAAACAGTGGACTAGGAAATTAAGATTTAGCCATGAAAACAAAAATGGTTGTAACTAATGAGCTGAGAGACTTTTTATGTCACAAAGTGGGTAATTTTTACCCATAAAAACTGAATGAATAAATGAAGAAAATGTCATAGCCGTCCTATTTAACAGGATTTTTCCTTCGTACCTTTGTGTTCGGGGTGTGAGGTCAGCAGATTGAGCAGAAGGAAAGCAGACTTGGTCCTGAGCTTCTCATTTTCTGACTGCATCCCTCTCATCAGGACCGAGAAGCCATCATGAGCCACGAACGCCAAGAGCCCTGCCTCCTGCTCCCGGACCAGACCTGCGGCACAACATCAAAAATGTTTAGTCTCTGCATTACAGTACACACAGGAACCCGAATATGCTACAACACTTTAAAGAATCTGAAATTTAAGGAGCCTCATGAACGCTCTGATTCTGCATCTTTGGTGATGATGAACTTACATGAAACAGCATAAAGAGCTTTTACTCTGACAGTGGGATTTGGGTCTGAATCTGTCAGCTGCAGCAACTTCGGCAGCACTTCGATCTGCAGCAAGTGGTCCTGCACCTGTGGCATGTTCTGAGCACATGAGGCAATGAGCTGGGCAGCCCGCCACCTCAGCCCACTCTGGATATGACTCAGATACCTGGAGACGCACAACTCCAGCCCTCCAAGAATCATAAAATCTGTCAAATTCAGAAATGTATTAAGTCCATTAGTTTTATCCATAATCTAGTTCGTAGATGATCTCTTCAGGAAGAGCGATTCTAAGGTCACACCTCTAGCGTTGTCCAAGTTCTCACACAATTCAGACAACATCTCAAAAACTGATTCCCGTTCATCCTCCTCTTCATCAGCATCGTCATCATCATCAGCTTCTTCCTTTTCACTCGTTTCATCTCTGTGTAGGACAGCCAGGCACTGCTTCATATGCTCCACTTCATCCATCTGGCCTTTACACATGTCTGAAAGAGCTTCCCTCAGCCACGTTTTCCTCTGGAGCAGACAAAAAGTGTTAGACAAGAGATAAAATTCACCGATGACTGTTATTTTGTTCAATAATCTGAACTTGTTTAGGCTGGTGGTTCATGTCAGAGCTACAATGAGCAAGATATGGTGAATAAAAATGTGTTTAAATAATTAAAATGAACTGTACAGCTCCTTTTCTTAACGTATCTTCTAAGGCGGTGTGGAAGAACTTACCTCCTCTGACATGGCCTCTACAGGAGCTGGACCTTCTGCTGCAGATCCAGCATCCACTGCCAGCTGCAGGACCCCCTGAAGGTTCTGGGGGTATCTCCTGTTCTGCTCGTTTCCTGACATGACTTAGCAAGGGAAAGAAACAAGACACTTATACAATAACAATGGCGAAGTATAATCCAGTAAAGTTTTAAACATGTTGTCTAACTATTCTATGTTCATCTCTGAGGACTAGCTGTATCCATGTAGCTGTAAACACAAATTATCTCGCGTCAGAGCCTCGAGTGAAAAATCTTAGGAACATAATGTCTCTTACCTGTGATGGGTCCAAACTAAACCGTGTAAGTGTTGCTCTTTGAGCCAACAGCCAGTTTTCTCCACTTATGAACACAAACGGTTGAAAGAGCTAGAACGTTCTAGCTAGATGAGCTCACGAGGAGTCTGGGGCGACCGCCATTATTTACCGTAAAGCGTTAACTGAACGCGCAAGCAAAAATCTGTCCGTTGTGTTTTTCATTCACCTTTCAGCGTCCTCCTTTTAAAATCATTTAAATATTTATATGTTCTACCTGAGCTCGGATTTTTTTTAATGTACACATCAAAACAAGCAACACAACACAAATAAATAAAATTCGTGTTCGTAAACTTTATTGTATTACAATAGTTAAGGTTAGTCCGTCAAACGTGACAAAGAGTAGGATGTTTCAAGAGGAATCCTTTACTTTACTGAATGGGGATGAGAGGATCGTTATCTTTAGTATTTAAATGTGATAAATTGTTATATTTACAGTCCGTTTATATAAAAATGACGATGATAATAGAAAATGGTTCCGTTTCTTTTGTTTTATTAGCTATATATTCGTAGTACCTAAACAAGAAAACTCAAATTTTATTCAATATATTCATTCATTCAACCTTTATTTAGACAGGCAAATCCCATTGAGCCTCGAGGACTCATTTACAAGAGAGACCTGATTTCAACAAAGAATGATGACAACAATGGATAACAGCGACAACAATATACAGTTATAAAAAGTCATACAATTTTTTTTTTTTTAACAAATAGGATGGCTAAAAAAAGAAAAGTAAAAAGAAAAGAAAAGCTCTATATCAGTCTTCTCATAAAATGTATGGATGTAAACAGATTTGGAAAAAATAACATATATTTTTAATACAAAAATTAAGTCAACGAGCTTAATCTTATCCACGCTGTTAGCGGGTTTAGGTTTATGTACGGTATAGCGAAAGCGAGGGCTTTGAAAGAGCATTCTCTTGGTAACGGTCATCGTCTTCGGTTTGTCTAACCATCCAAGATGGCGGCGCTTGTGAGAATGCGTGCTTGTTTCTCTGGTAAAATTGTTATTTCCTTCGCACTGTATGACTCGTTATGTCTTTGAGAAAGCCTATCGAGATATATGCAACATTATATTAATTTTAAATAGTGCACTACTTAGCTTAATTAGCAGAAATATATCTAATGAACAAAGGATATCGGCCTCTTCCGATAGCAGAGCAAGGTCACGTTACAATGAGGGTTAGCTAAACGCTAATGCGGCTGTAGCCTAAAGATTAATGTTCGTATTTAACCTAAAATAATTCGCTTTGGTTACTGTTGGAAGACCAACAGCTTGGTTCAGATAGTTTGTTGACATTAGCTGCTGCAGAGCTGAAGCTGACGGTTTCATTGTAATTTGGTGCAGAAATCTGTCGGAAGTACAAATTTACTAAGAAGAGCTTGATAAAATAGATTATATAATTGATAAAAAGCAGCATTTGCTTATTTCAATAATAGAAGCAGGCATGAAGGCTACAAATCTGTAAAAAAAATGTAAATTGGAAGGATAATAGATTTTAGTGTCTGGTTTATCTAAATGCAGTGTTTTAATCTATAAACCAAAGAAAGGGGTATACTAAGATGTTTTTTCTTCAAACTACTCCTTTTCATTCAGAACTTTTGTTTGTCAACATGTGACATATTTATTTTAAACTGTAAATGAATGAAATAAAAAAACCGAATGGGGATTTATTAGCTTTTAATATTCTCACCACTGTTGTAGAAGTATACAGTACTGGTAACAAACAAAGACAGCGTGGACCTAAAAGAGCTGGTATTGCTTATTAATTTGAAAAATGTGACAAAAATAAATAACTAATTATGAATTGTCCATAGAGTATAAATGTATAACTGGAGGTCCCTCAGTCAAAGTGGGGAAACTCCACCAAAGGTCCTGGAGAATGGAAGGACTAAGACATTGTGGGACTTCCAGACTTGACAAACAGGTGATGGCTAACCAATCAGACATTGTGGTGATTGACAAGCAAGAGAAGAAGCCAGTGGTGACAGATGTGTCCATCCCAAGTGACTGTAACATCAGGTAGAAGGAGCACGGCCAGCCAGACATAAGACCATCAGATGAGCATTTGAGCTCTGTAGACCACAGCCTTTACTGTTGCTTCATTCTTTGTTTAGACTTTTAAAGTGTGAAATTTGAGAACTGCTATTTTTTATGGTGAGTTTTTATTTACGTGTTAATGAGGCATTAATGAAAAATGGTCAAGTGGAATTACAATTTCTAAAACAATGGGAAAATATTGAAAAATAGGAATAGCAATATTAAGTTGGTTATGAGATGAGACAAAGTTTTGGTGGAGCATCCATAGATAATTTATTTCTGAACTTGATTGAAATACTTAATTTTCAGAGTCTTTGCTTTTGATGGTAAAACAAAAGTGAGTTTTGATTTTCCAATTTTCAGTTGCAGAATGCAGCATGTTTTGAAGCTGGGGCAAGATATGAGGCTGTATTTCTTTACGCCAAACCGGAGACAAATAAAATACTTCTCCCTGCAAATCTGGGAGATTCAAAACGCAATACAGTAGTCCCTCGTTTATTGCGGGGGAGCCGTACCCTGAAGCCCCGTGATAAGTGAAAAACTGCCAAGTAGGAATAGTAGTACAAGTAGTAAGTAGTAGTTTATTTTAGTATTTATATAAATACATATATTAAGGCGTTTGAAACCCTTCCCACACTCTTGCAATATTCTAAACAATGTTTCTAAGCTCTAAAAGAGCACAGAATGTCATGATGTCAGCTCCCTGCCTCCTCTGCTCTTTGCCACCTGCAAGTGCTCTTGGCCACGCCCACTTCTCTGCTCTGCACCATGAACAGCTGATCAGCTGCAGCAGGAAGTTTATCCTGTAGTATGGGCTACACAATGGTGCAGCAGGTGCTAAGTAATTTAAAATAATTTATTTTAAATAAAAATTCCATGCCAATCGTGTGGCTCATCCATCAGTCAAATTGTGTGTCATGTCCAATCTTATTTTGAAAAGCTGCGATAGAGCGAGTCCGTGATAAACGAACCGCAAAGTAGTACTGTTGTAATACAATGTTCCAGGATTTTTGACTCAAATATATGTTTTTAAGTACAGAAAAATGCACCATTTTCTCTAAAAAATGTGATTGAAGTACTATATGTAGCTTTTCCAGCAGTTATTCTTTTTTTTATCTGAAAACTTTACAGATTAATTGACAGCATTTGTACAAGCTTGGTTAAAATATAAAAACAAAAAAAAAACAATAATCCTTTATACTTTTAAAATTTGAGAAAGTCCACAAGTTGACACTGACTGATAAGGACTTACTGTGTGTTGAACGTTATACTGTTTGCACATTAAAAGCTGAATATTTTAATTATTATTGATTGTTTTCAGCTCTCAAGCTTTCCCCACCAGGACTTCTGCACAGCTCATTCAAACTGGTACGTCTGCAGACAAACGGCTGTTTTCAGACAGTTCAGCTTGGACTTGTGTGAGCTCAGGTTTTTTTTTTTTTTTTTCTGGTGTGAAGAGTGCTGTGCCCTTGAGTCGGCGCACCTTTGCTGCTGAGGCTAAGAAGACGTACAGCAGAGACAAACCTCACGTGAATGTCGGAACGATTGGCCACGTCGATCATGGCAAGACCACCTTGACTGCAGCCATTACAAAAGGTAGGGCCGCTTAACGTTTAAACTCGTGTTTAGGCATCAAGCAGGATAAATTTAAACAGGCAATATCCTGATGCTTGCTCAATAATCCAGGTAGAAAAATCCAAAAAAGTTCATTCTGGTCCTCTGGACATTCAAAAAAACAAAGCAAAAAAATGTAGATAGGTTTCTTCTTGATCATGTGAGCAGCTGGTTTTGGTTGTCAGCAGCAAACTGGTTGATCCACTCTGAGAAGGTGCTATTTAAGAGACTGAGCTGAAAACAGCACCTCAGACTGAAGAAGTCTCTCGGATGAAAGACGAAACGTTTCTACATTTTTTTGCGTTGTTTTGCTTTTTGTTTTTTTTGAATGTCCAGAGAGGACCAGATTGAACAGGCAGTGTTTTCATAAAGCTCAGACAGTGAAATACTTTTATATACCCTAAGAATATCTAAATATTGTTTATCTTTATCTCCTGTTTCAGTGCTTGCTGAGGCTGGTGGTGCTAACTACAAAAAATATGAGGAAATAGACAATGCACCTGAGGAAAAGGCCAGGGGAATTACCATCAACGCCTCTCACGTAGAATACACAACGCCCAACAGACATTACGCCCACACAGACTGTCCCGGCCATGCCGACTACATCAAGGCAACTTGCTTTTCTTCTAGATGCATGCAACTCATATAGAACAGCCTGGCTGTTGCTTGAATTATGACACTTGTTTGTTCTTTTCCAGAACATGATCACGGGCACATCTCAGATGGATGGCTGCATCCTGGTGGTGGCGGGCACCGACGGCCAGATGCCTCAAACACGAGAGCACCTCGTGCTGGCCAAGCAGATCGGCGTTGAGCACATCGTGGTGTACATTAACAAGGCAGACGCCGTGGATGATAAGGAGATGCTTGACCTGGTGGAGCTCGAGATTCGTGAGCTTCTCACAGAGTTTGGTTATGATGGCGAGAACACACCTGTTGTGATAGGCTCCGCCCTCTGCGCCTTGGAGGTAGGGGAAGTCTTGAGACTGCAGCTTGTGGTGTGTTATCAGTAAAGTTTATTTGTCAAAAGTACTACTCAGTGTTTTATTTTAGTTTGTGTTTAACAGCAGTAAACAATGTTTTTAGTGTCAAATTGAACTCGTTAAGTAATTTTGTCCATTGATGTCTGTGCTCCATCTCAGAACAAAAATCCTGAACTGGGTGTGAATTCAGTGATGAAACTTCTGGATATTTTAGATTCCTATGTTCCTCTGCCCAAAAGAGAGCTGGAAAAACCTTTCCTTCTGCCCGTTGAAGGGGTTCATTCAATCCCAGGTAGGAGAAGGGCTTAATCTGTCTCATCAAATGTAATTCAGAATTATTAGTGCTCCCTGTAATTCTTGTGTGCAGTGTGATACACAAGTTTTATAGTGGCAACATATGAAAATTTCATATCCAAAGATGTCATGTAGTGGAAAAAACAAACAGGAATCATGACTCCAGATCTTTTCTATTATTATTTCAGGCAGAGGTACAGTGGCGACGGGCACCCTGGAGAGAGGCGTCATAAGGAAAGGAGACGAGTGTGAGTTTGTGGGTCACAACCGCAATTTCAAGTCTGTAGTTACAGGTGAGTGAAAGGAAAAAACAAGATGACCTCAGATGAAAAAGACATCTTATGTTTTGTGTAGATGATACACTAAAACGTGTGAACAAGAGAAGTTTAAAAGATGAAGATGCTTCTGTTCAGGGCCTTAGTTAGACTTGAACAGCTGTTGGATTATTCTAAGTAAAACAAACATGGGTCCAGATATGATCATGATTATCTGATGTGTTGAAACATGATGGGATGTGCATAAAGATGCAGAGCTTTTGGACAACAGGACCATGTAGTAGTCACGTAGGTACGTGCCACTAGTTGTAGTATGACAATATATGAGATATATATGCATACAATATTCACGAGTTCCTCATCTTTCTGGCTGTGTAATGTCGTGCATTGAATTTAACAGAAATGTAACGAGAGACGTTATTATCTTTGACCCATCCAATCAATGCGGTCATTTATTTTCAGAATCAAAGTTTAACATCAAACATTTACATTAATTTGGCAAAATATGAAATTAATAACAGACAAGTTTCACAAAAAGGGACATCGATCACTCGGCGGTGAACGAGGACTTTGCTTCAGATATTTCTAAAATATCTGTACTGATTTTATGAGAAAGAGGAGAGTTTTAAGATGAAATGGAGATTTATCTTACAGAGAAATATGTGAGGGAATTAATCTGTTTGACCAGAAATTGCACGCTCCATCAGATATCAGCTTGCCCACGGTACACTTGGTCGAAAATAGAACCATCTACCTTGATGATGAACTCAGCGTCGGCGTAGGTTCCTTTCTGACTCTTTTCAGCGTCTCCGTGAGGACTACCAAACCCTCAGAGAGTCGTACGTGGTTTTCAAACAGAAATTATAATCCCAAAACGTCTCTGGATCATCTTGAATGCGTTTGCACCCAAGAACTCTGAACTCCTTTCATTCTTCAGAACTTCTCAGACTCTAACAGAATCTTTCAACTCCAGCAACTCTCTAGTTCTTCATCTCCCGAATTCTTTTTCATTCTCACATGAACTGGGAAGTTGCCACATTTTAAATGGGTCGACTTCCGGTTCAATTTAGAGCTTTCTGATTCGTGGATGTACCAGAAAGAGGTGTGTTTTTGTGACGTAAGATGTTATCTAAGCCAAGGTCAGAGAATGAGATTGTTCAACAACTGACAGAGAGATTATTGCAGAAAAGCAGACTTCGTGGAGTCAACTCTTGGTAATCTTCTGAAAAAGTTTAAACATGACATCTTTCTCGGTAAACATTTTAGTTGACCGAAAACCGACCTTTCACATACTTACAAAACTTAGCTCATTTCAGACAGAAAATCAAGAAATGCATATTAACCTGATTTCTTCTTTGAATGAGGAATAAAAATCATTACTTACTGTTTATGTGAAATAAAAATGAGTAGTTCTTTTCAACCTGTAACATTGAGTGAACTAACACCATTTGATTATCAAACATTTGTAATACAGTAATGATTATAGAGAATTGTCTTTTCTGCTTGATTAATTCAAGAAAGAAAGTCACCAGATGGCTCAGACTGTATTCAGATCAATGAAAATAACAGTCTCTGTCCATCTGATAGATTTGAGGTCATCAGGGTCAGATCAGGGTCAGATCAGGTTCACTATAACCATTTCAGTCATTATCACCATTTGAGATGATTTACTTTTGTTTTTGTTTGTTTTTACACTCCTGGATCTGCGGCAAGACACAGTCATAATAACTGTTCAGGTCCTTTTCAGCTCAGTCTTCGGAACAGCTGTTGTCTTGGCTCAGTAGGGATTCTCACATATTTAAGGGGTGTGATTGGTCCATTTTAGTGATAAGCTTGCATTCCCACTGATATAAAGTAGAAGCTTCCAGCTCATGAAAGCCACAAAAACAGGAATTCAAAAAATTAGATTACTGTGGAGAAATCAGCCCAAATGTTGCAGGGCATGAATGTTTTAAACTGAGTGTGACACTAATCATCTACTAAACTCAAAGCACCTGCACAGGTTTCCCCAGGTGTCATTAAATTGCTTCAGTTTGGTTCAGTTGTCTCAATTCGGTTCAATATGGGGACGACTGCAGACATAACTGGCTAGAAGACCATCATTGATACCCTCCATAGGATGAGTAAGCCACAAAAGTTCATAGTTAAGGAGGCTGGCTGTTCACAGAGTGCTGTGTCCAAGCACATCAATGGAAAGTCTAGTGGAAGGGCAAAATGTGGCAGGAGAAGATGCACCAGCTAAAGAGATGACAATGGGCTTCTGCTGATTATCAAACAGAGAATATTCCAGAATCTGGCAGAGATCCAGAAAGAGTGGAATGAGGTGGGAGTCACAGCTTCAAAAACCACCACATTCAGACACATCTGGCTACAACTGTTGGGTTCCTCGGTCCTCTTTTCCGATGAAAGTAAAGTGTGCCTTTCATTCAGAAATCAAGGTCCAAGGGTTTGGAGGAAGAAGGAAGAGGAACAAAACCCCTACTGCTCGAGGTCCAGTGTGAAATATCCACAGTCAGTCATGATTTGGGGTGCAATGTCCGGTGCAGGTGTTGGTAAACTCTGCTTTCTTAAATCCAAGGTCACCGCAACAGTCTACCAGAATGTTTTATAGGACTTCATGATTCCTTCTGCTGAGGATGTGTATGGAGATGCAGATTTCATCTTCCAGAGGACCTGGCCCCTGCCCATGCTGCCAGAAGCACCAAAACCTGGTTTGATGCCCATGCCACAGTGCTGGACTGGCCAGACAACTTGCCGGACCTAAACCCCATTGAGAATCTATGGAGTATTCTCAAGAGGAAAATGAGGAGCACCAGACCCAACAACAAAGAAGAGCTGACAGCAAACATCAAGGAAATCTGGGCTTCCATAACTCCCAGTCAATGCCACAGGCTGACTGCCTCAATGCCACGTCACATCGAGGCAGTGATTAAGGCAAAGGGATTCACAACCAAGTATTGAAGATTGACATATTGTTTTGAAAGATTTTGATTGATTTTGATTTGTTGAGATCCTGATTTCTTTCTTTTTTTTCTGCACAAACTGAGAAGTGTGGGCTGATGTCTTCACAATATTCTAATTTTTTGAATTCCTGTTTTCGTGGGTTTCATGAGCTGGAAGCCCAAATTATTTAAAAAATAAACAAATACTTGAAATCGTTTAAATTGCAGGCCCTGAATCTATCATCTATTAAAGAGTAACGTTTTGAATGGAATTATGGAAGTTAAACTACTTTTCCATGATTTTCTAATTTTTTGGGAATGGTCTGTAAATGTATTTATGTATGTATAAGGTGTTAAATTTTGTATGACAACCCAGTAACAAGGATGCTACAGCGACCGCACAACGTTATGATTTCAAACACGCCATTGAGTTTAGATTTGTGAAAATTTACAAATTTACACTGTTCAAGTGTTGTCACTGTGTTAAAGAGAGTAAATGTCATGAATAAATTTGGCATTAAACATAATCCAAGTTGAAGTGTTAGATCATTTCAGCCCCTTTTTTGGCATCTGCATTTGGTAGCAGTCCAAATTGACAAAGACCAGGCAGAACAATGTAGTATTTTAATTCCACAGCACAGAAAACTATGTAGTCTCCGTAAGTAGGTCTATGAAAAAAATGATCAGTATTGGTATCAGTTATCAGCCAAATAAGTTTTAACATATCGGATATTGGCCAAAAATCCAATATCGTGCATCCCTATAAACGGTATCACTGCTGTCTACGAGCTCTTTGATGAATGTGCACTACAGAGTAGGCTGATTTGTTGAATGAGTTTTTGCTCCTATAACAACTCCTGCATGCCTGTAACGCTCTATCAGACTTTGTTTTTAAAAATTACACCCAGGATACACGGGCAAATTGTTGTTGGTGATGGTCAATGACAGGGCCACTCTGACCTTTCAGAGTTTTCCAGAATCAAAGTGAAGTAAAAACAAACACGTCCATCCTTCAAACTGATCTTTAGTTGGACCAACAAACGATAAAACCCTCAGTCCTTAAAACTGTAGGCTCTGAAGACACCTTTTGAGGACATACGACCTCAAATGTGTCGTATTTCCAAAGTTAACCAAGCAGACGTGCAAGTCATCAAGTAGAATTTGATGTTGATTATTATTCTTATTTGGTCTTGGGTACAGGTATTGAGATGTTCCACAAGTCTCTGGAGCAGGCAGAGGCAGGAGATAACCTGGGCGCTCTGATCCGAAACGTAAAGAGGGAAGACTTGAGGCGAGGGCTGGTGATGTGCAAGCCAGGATCCATCATGCCTCACCAGAAAGTCAAAGCTCAGGTCTGAGAGCATGAAGTTACTCTGTGCACTTTAATAAATACACAGTTTATTTAGTCGTTTGTCATTTTTAAATGTTCAACAATACAAAAACATTTCATTTAGAAGCTTTTTTTTTTTTTGTACAACTACCACATAATGTAACCAAACATTTCAAAACATTTAAACTATGTAATTTTTTTATGATATATTGGAATTTTTTAATTTTTTATTTATTTAAAATGACTCAATTTTATGTATATATATATATATAAATATATATATATTTACAGCATGACGTGTATTACAATACTTTCAATTTCTTTGCCACCTTTTCCCCAAACGTCGTCTTTACGGATCATCACTACATGTGAAGTAGCTACTCAGCGTTTTCATTCACTGATCAGCTGATAGTTGTTGTTCTTCATACTAGTTTTCTGTTGTTTTTAATTCTGACATGTTTTTTGATCCAAATTTTTCTTCAGGGTGTTCTAGTAAAATCTCAGCAGATTTGACTCTTTCTTACAATCACAATCTCAGTGACACAATCATATTAATTAACTATTTATAGACGTAATATATAAGCAATATAATCAACAACGGTGTTACTGTCCTAACAAGGAATTCACCATTCAAGTAAAATGTATTAATGCTATTTTTAAATGTCGTCTGAACTATGTAGGCCGGTTATTACCGTATTTTCCACCATACCCGTCGCTCCACCCTATAAGTCACTTCTGTCCATATTTGTCTAATAAAGTGGAAAAATCCATAAATATGTTGCTTCTCCGTATAAGTCGCATCTATTATGCGTCACCGCTGACAACCCAGAAATGTGTGCCGGTGTTGTGCCAAAAATTGATTGGCTGCCAAATGGCGGTTGCGAGAGCATGCACGGAAGGACTTTAACAAGAATTTAACAAGATTAGCACTTAAAAACAATTATTTGTTTGCTGGAAATTGTAGCAAAGTTGTGTCTCAGTCAACTTTTGCTTAATAAATGCACTTTAACAGTCAAATCAGCTGTATGACAAAAGTATTCTCTGCCTCGGTGCTCCAGGAGCGTGCAGACTGAGGAAAAAAGGTGGAACGCTGAGCGTTTCTTTGAAATTTAACAAGAAAAGCACCTAAAACAATTATTTGTTTTGCGCGAAATTATAGCAAAGGTGCGTCTCAGTTGAACTTTTACTTAATAAATGCACTTAAATGGTCAAATTAGCTGCATTTCGCTGGGGCGATGCAGCAAAATTAAGCTGATTTGACGGTTGCTCCAAGCAGAACGAAGGTAGAAGGATATGGCAAGCTCATTGTGTCATTAATAGCTGGTGAAGATTCTCAGTCATCCAGGACATGGTAAATTCAAAAAAGCTCAAGTCAAAAACAATAAAGTATAAAGTAAAGTATTATAAATAAAGTCCAGTTGATTTTGTCTTGAACTTTTTTTGAATTAGTCATTATAGCCATGTTTACCTATTATATGAGACAACGGTATGCCATACAGTTACTACTACTTGACTGCCATCTAGCAGCTGAAAATGGTAGTGTTCAATTTTTTCATTCAGAATGAATGAAAAAGGTCATATCTCAGCCAAAAGTTGGTTTATAAATATGGTAGAAAAACATAAATACGTTGCTTGGGCCTATAAGTCGCAGGGCATGCAAATTATGCAAAAAAAAAAAACGTGACTTTTAGGCCGAAAAATACGGTATTTGTCCTGATTAAATGCTGTATTTGTTTTGGTCCGTTTATTTGAACACAGCTCACCATGTAACAGAAACTTTGTTTTGCAGGTTTACGTTCTGAGTAAGGATGAAGGAGGCCGACACAAACCGTTCGTTACCAACTTCATGCCTGTCATGTATTCTCTCACCTGGGACATGGCCTGCAGGGTCACTCTACCTGAGGGCAAGGTGTGTGTACTTCTTTGTGTAGCTTTGAGGTCCATTTTTAGTTTTAGGTCTGGTTTGGATCAGGGAGTTGGGTGTTTAGATGAAATAGTTAAAGTGGATGTTTTTTTTGTCATCTTAAGGAAATGGTGATGCCGGGCGAGGACACGGCGTTGCTGCTTACGCTCCGCCAGCCGATGGTTCTGGAGAAAGGCCAGAGGTTCACTCTGAGAGATGGGAGTAAAACCATAGGCACCGGCCTGGTTACAGACATCCTCACCGTTACAGATGCTGAAATCAACTTTGGCTGAAGTGAAACTTTGAACTGGGGAAGGGGGAGTGTTTGGTTAGAAAACACGTACAGAAATACAAAACAAACCTAAAAGACATGCAAGCGTCCATTGTTCAGTTCTACTCAACCAGAATTCCTGTGATGTTCAGTACGGACTTTGTGCAGGTAACAATTATGTCATTTATGTAATAAAATGTATTTAATAATAAAAGTGCCTTTTTGTTCTGTGGTCATTTGTTTTCCCAGCTATTTAAAAACTAACAAAAACACAGACATTATGTAAAAAGAAAATATAAAGTATTTCTACATTGCGTTTGTTCTAAATCTTCAGGCATAAATTTGGAGCGGGACATATCGTGTCCTGCTGGTGTAAAATGTTCAGAGCAACACCGGAGGGCAGCAAAGATGCCCGGAAAGACTCCTGTTGTGCTTCTGATTTTAAAAGTGTTTATTAGAAGGAAAAAAAATAGCGACATTTGAAAAAACAGAATTACATTTGAAAAAAACGGAATTACATTAAGCCAAAGCGGAAGTGGCCCGAATCACATTTGAAAAAACAGAATCACACTTGAAAAAACAGAATTACATTAAGCCAAACCGGATTTTTTTTTTTACTGTATTAACAGCATAAAACTGAACAACAGAACAATATACAGTACACACACATCAGCGATATGTGTGTACTGTATATTTTTTAAAAGTCAGGTCCTCTGGATGTTCAAAAAACAACAATAAATAAATAAAATCGTAGAAACGTTTCATCTTTCATCCGAAAGCTTCTTCAGTCTGACGAGCTGTATTCAGCTCAGTCTTATAAATAACCCCTCCTCATAGTGGGTCAACCAGTTTGTTCTTGACATTTAAAACTAGTTGTTCACATGATCAAGGAGGACCATCAGTCTAACGATGGATCGTTGGCACCCTGATGGATGCTTGCTATTCACAGGGGCCTGAGTTGAACACGGAGGCCTCCAGAGGACCTGATTTAACTTTTGTAGATTTTTCTACCTGGATTATTGAACATGCATCAGGATGTACTGTATATTGTTCTGTTGTTTGGTTTTATGCTGTTAATAAAGTTAAAAAAAAAAAAAAAAAAACCTTCCTATTTGGCTTAATTTAATTCTGTTTTTTCAAATGTCATTGTTTTTTCAAAAGTTATTCTGTTTTTCAAATGTAATTCTGTTTTTTCTAATGTAATTCAGTTTTTTTTCCTAATGTAATTCTGGGTTTTTTTATGTTTTTTTTTTCCTAATGTTGTGATTTTGTTATTTTTGTTGTTTTTTTCAAATGTAATTCTGATTTTTCAATTGTTCATTTACACCTTAAGGCCACTGTAGAAAAAAGATTAAGACATCAGTTCAGATATTCATAAGGTGACCATAAACATTGACCAAAATGACTCATTTAACCACTTTTACTTGTTTTAGATACCTCAAAAGTTTTTGATCATGCTTTATAATAAAAGGTTATGAATATTCTTCAGACTTTTTAATACACAAAAATGTTTGACAAAAAAATGGTACCTGTAATTATTCTTGAGCTACTTCATAGGATTTAATGCAAAAACTGCATCTGGTTTTCTCATGTTTTTAATGTACATTTATAATTTTCTTTTAAACTTATTTGATACAGACCTTGGAACTGTTTGCGTCTGAAGTGCCGCCGTTTAAAACCGGACTTAAAGTTGCATTCTGGTAATGTTCAAGTAAAGTTAGGATTTGCTAAATGGGGGCTTTCATGTGGAGAATAAATCAAGTTTTAAACTTTTTTAAAAGTGTTTTTTAATTGTATTTCCTTCTATTGGTTGGTGGTCTGTAGCTGGTGTTCCCTCTGCTCACAGGAAGTCCTTCAGTTGCTGTTTGCTGTTGGTATTTTGAGTCTGAGTTCTCCTGTAATCCAATCAGCCTGTTGCTGTAATCAAATCCTGCATGTCTGCAGCAGCCGAGCAGCAAGAACCGCTGAGTGATGTGCTCAGCTGGACGGGGCCTGTTTCTAGGAGACCAGAGACCGATGTTCAGACAAGATATTAAATGTATTATTATTATTTCATTTTTTGTCAGCAGCTAGCCTAAGCCACTGTGTGGACATGTTGGGTACATAATTTCCTGTGGTAAAAATTACTAAAAGACTGGTCCTAAAGCAATATAGCTTTGATTGTTTGGTTTTAAGATTTAGTTAAAAGTTTTTTCAGAGTTATAATTTGACTGCCTCATCTACAAGCAGGGGCGGAGCTAGACGGGTGGCAAGTGCCACCCATCTGGCACCTGATTGCCCACCCCAAGTGCCACCCCCAAATGATTGTGGGGTGAGGATGCATATGGGATTTAAGAGAGAGCAAAAAAGAAGTGTGTGAAAAAAATAAACTTTTGAACCACTGACAGTGTTTCTGTTCAGTGCCCTGAGATGACTTGTGACTTGGCGCTATATAAATAAACTGAATGGAACTGAATAATATAAAACAATTGTACATTTTCTGGGGTTAAGAACCAGCTCAATGAAGATTTGGCAACATCTAGTGGTCAATCTGTAACAAAGCAACAACGTGGAGCAACTAGAAAAGTTCCAAATATTCCACCAACACGAAGGCCATAAAAACTTGCACCTTATGAGCTCTCTTCGATATTTTTATGTAATATGTTATTGTAAATTATTGTCTCAGTGTTTGTAACCCCCTGGCGTCTGTTATATCATTACTGTATACTGCATTTTATTGTATTGATTTGTACTTTTTCAATAAAGATTTTTTTTTTTTAACAAACTAAAGTTCCTAGAGAAACTTTTTTTTAACTAAATCTTTATTAAAGCCAATGATAGCACAAACAAATGAATGGAGTATACAGACGAACACAACACTTATATGAACAAAGAACCAGGGGGGTGATTTTTTAAACAAATATTTGCAAAGATTTACAGATAGAAATAGTCCTAAGGGCATTTTTGTTGGTAACCTAGAGAAACTTTGACGGGGACTGTCACAAGGCCGCCATTTTAAATGTGTGATTTGACTGTACTTTATGCTGGTGATCCCAGCTCCCATCACACCAATTTTCAGCTTGTCTAAAAATAGCTGAATTATGGCCATTTGAATTTAGCGTTGGTGGCCATCTGTATTTATTTCATTTTTTTTTCCTTCTTTAATTCAGACTGTTGGGCATCACTCAACTACCTTCACACTAAGTTTCAGCATAATATCACTAAAATGTCTGATTTATAGTTTTTTTCTTTTCTTTTTAGCTTATGTGGCCAACAGTAAATTTATAGGAGTGATCATTTCACCATTTGATTTGATCCCACCTACCATTTATGACACTTTAATAGTTTATATATTTATGATTTTACAGGAAGTGCTATACCAAACTGCTCAAAGGTCCTGAAGTATCCCTTTTTTTACACTTTCTTCCTTTTTTGTGATCTTCTAAATTTCTCCAAAGTTCATTCTCAATAATCCAGGTAAATCAGTCAGTAATGGAAGTGTGCTGCTTAAGGAACTCAGTTTGTTTGTGTCTCCTCGGACTGATGAAGTCCTTTGGATGAAGGACAAAACATCTCAGCAAAAAAATAAACCGTCCAGATGATCTGACTGAATTTTGTAGGATCTTCTAAATTCATTTGAGCTATAGTTCTTCGGGCGTTCTAACATTTTTTTGTTGTCAAAATTAATTTTCCTTTGGACTTTGGCTGCTTTTGCACACATTTTCAGTCCATCCTTTTTTTTAAAAGGTTTGCATGGAGTCATTTTGCTCAGCCTCACTCAAACGTCAGTTTAAGTTTCAGTCTGATCAACAACGGGTTTCCTCTCAGTTTTTTTCCCACAAAGGGTGGATCTGTCTTCCATCCACAAGTTCACTCTTCTAACCTTCAAGCTGTTCACACCCCTCAGAAGAATAACATAATGCTGTCTCAGCCGTCTGATTGAGATGTTATTGGAAAGAGTGGCTGTGATAAAATAACCAGAAAATGTTCTGTCTGGATTATGTAATATCTTTAAGTTAGGAACAGCCCTGATATCTTGTTTCTTTTAAAACAGTTATTGCACATGACCTCGAAGTCTTAATGTCTGGTTTTATTATATTATAAAGCACATGAAGTTATAAATCAACTAAAGCAGTTCAATTTGATTTCTAACACTCAAATTAGGAAAAATTCAAACTTTGCATAAATAAATCCAAAGCAAAACAATTCATTTGCAATAAAGATGTGATCTGAGTCCAGAACATCAGAGGTTGTGCCTTTAGAAAAGGAAATGCAGCTGTCATTTCTTTTTACCCTCCGCCTCGTTCTCACAGCTGAGGGGAAGCATAGAGCTGCTGCAATTAAGGCTGAATGTTCCTTTCAGCAACCCACTCTGCGTGTTCGAATCCTGACCCCCACACGGCTTCTCATCCTCCGACACTGCAGAGTGGGTGGGAAGCATCCTGGGTTTATTCTCAGAGCACCTTCCACCACACAGCACATAGAGCAAAATAACAAACTGTACCTTTAGTTGGTGCTAAATCATCTGTAGGAAAAGGCAGGGCTGAAACTTGTTGCCAGAGGAATTTAATGTCCCACACACTGAAAGTTTAGCGTTGGAAATGTCAGGTGTTCATAATAACGAGCTCTGAAATGTAATATGATTAAAGTGTGATATTTTATTGATTTTATATGTTTGATTATTGTCCAAATCAGTGAACAAAAAACCTCTTCTTCTTCTTCTTTAGGGCTTTTCTCTCTTCACAGCGAGTCATCCTCCTCCATCTCACTCTGTCCTCACTCCAACTACCTCCATGTCCTCTCTAACTGCATCCATATACTGTATCTCCTCTTTGTCTTTTTCCTGGCAGCTGCATTTCTAACATCCTTCTACCAATAAACCCACTGTCCCTCCTCTGGACAAGTCCAAACCATTTCAGTCTGTTCTCTAACTTTATCTCCCAGTTGTTCAACCTGTGCTCTGCCTCTGATTATCTCATTCCTAATCTTATCCATCCTTATCACTCCTAAGGAGAACCTCAACATCATGGGCTGCATCTATCGGCCTCAGATAGTTTACAGAGAAGCTGATAAAGGCTCTGGGTGATAAGAAAGAGCTTCCAGATGGCTGGACTACTACAGCTACAGTAATTAGATAGAGAGACAGGTAGGAAGGTACTTGGTGTGTCATCTGGACAGAGAATAGATGATAAGGAAACCTGGTGGTGGAATAGTGAAATGCAGGAAGTTATACAAAGAAAGAGGTTAGCCAAG